GAGAGGAGAGGAGAGGAGAGGAGAGGAGAGGAGAGGAGAGGAGAGGAGAGGAGACCCACCTGGCACCACACTAACACCTTCTTACCCTCTTTCAGGATGAACAACAAAATACGGGCACATTTTGAGGCGCTAGGCAGCAGCCACGTGAAGAAGCTGGGCTTCCGGGACAACTGGGTCTTCTTGGGAGCCAAAGGGCTGAAGACCAAAAGCGCCTTTGAACAGGTACATGGCCCTCCCCGGCCACCAGCTCTGGAGGTTCCCATCCTCTTCGTAGCACCTCCTGAGCCATGTCTCACCTACCTCTCTGCAGAAGACATGGGCCAGAGGTGTTATCCCTCATGTCAAGCCACGCTGCAAGTTCTGCCATGTTGCAAACTTGCACTGTACCACCAACCTCCTCATTCATTTTCTTCTCTCTTTTCCCCCGCAGTACATCAAAAATGATAGGAAAACAAATAAATACGAAGGCTGGCCTGAGATGCTGGAGATGGAGGGCTGTGTCCCCAGGAAGATGGATTAACATCAAGCCCCAGCCTGCCACGGAGACAAGTCTCCACCAGTCTCGCAGGGACACCAGCCCCACCACACCAACCCCAGGTCCCCCCACTGCCCGGTCATGCAGCCCAAGAGCAGCTGCCTGTTCCCAGGGACCGGCCATTTCGGAGCAGGGGCTGCGCAGGACTTGGAGAAGAGCTGTACAAGTGTCTGCAGAGCCTGAGCAAGTGCCCGGCCAGGTTTTGGATGAGCTGTCCTCATCTATGGGTCAATTTGGGGTATTTTATTTTCCTGTCTTTAAATCAAAAACTTTATATGAAGTTTTTTTCAGGTTTCTTAAATAAGATATCTAATGATAAAATATTGCCTTCTCACTTCCATTTTCAAGCATAAACCATGTTTTTCCCTGCAGGCACAGCATGCCACCTCTTCTGCCCCAAGCCGGGCATCACTGTCACCCATCTCACGGCACTGCACATGGGTGCTCCCCCTTCCCACATGGCACAGGGCAAAGTCATCCCTGGGGATGCTCAGACTGCAGTGGTTTCACCCTGGAGCTCCTGCCACCCCCACCCCCCACCCCACGCCCCTCACTGTCTCCTACAATAAGGCCAGAAGGCCACACGGATGGCTTGCAGCAATGTAGGTTAATATTTGCACACCAAAGCATTTCCCCCACCTGGCTGCATCTATCCGGGATTAAATCTAAGCTAAATCCTACATGGCACATCCCCATCAAAGGTCAGGATAACGCCAGGGATGTGCCAACCTGACTTTGCCCTCGGAGGGAGGGATGGATGTGCAAGTTTCTCAGGCAGCTGAAGTTGTGCAGCATAACCAATAGGTGGGAGCCTTTTACCGGGAGAGTCGGAGACAGCATCAGTCTGGAGCGATACAACACACCTGGGCTGGAACCCCGCTGCGGGCACCCACGCACCCACTTTGCTCCGGGAGCTGCACCCCAACCCCGGGCCGGCCGACATCGCTGGGAGAGGAGAGATCGCTGCCCAAATGCAGGACGGCAAAGCCCAGCAGCCCTCCCGCCAGGGAGGGTCCCATGCTGCTGCCCAGCACTGAGGAGGTCCTGGGGGAGCATCTGCCCCCCACTCGTGTCTGGGTGAGTTCACCCAAGCACCGTCTGCCCCCAAAGCCCCGCCAAGTGCCAGCACCGCTGAGATCTGATAAGCTGTGTGGGCAACGGCCTGGGCTTATCTGTCATCATGGACATGGCTAAATTTGCATCATATATAGACTTTGATTTCCTATGACAGTATCGGAGTTTACCCCATTCTTTGAAGCAGACCAGCGGTTTTGTAGAGCATGAGGGTGGAGCATTTCTGCTGGAGTGCTTGGAGCTGTGCAGGGTAACACAAGGCAATCCTGCACAGCCTTTTCTGCCTCCAACAGCGGGGTTTGCCTCGGCACAGCTTCTAACAGGCAGCTCACATCGGTTATCTGAGCCCTCGGGTCACCCCGGGGGAGCAGAAGTGAGGAGCATTGGTGGGATAAGGCCAGGAAAGACACAGCCTGTCCTGCGCCAGCACCTTAGGGATGAAACCCTGGATCCAAAACCCAGCACCACATACAAAAACAGTGAGGCAACAGGTTTTCCCTAACTAAGGAAAATTCCCAAAAATAAATTGTGTAACACCTATAAGAACTTTCAAAGGCAAAACTGAAACAAACCCCGAAAACAGCTGTCACAGAGGAATTCCCCAGTAGCTGTAGTATTTTATTCCAGCTTATCCTCCTGCGCTCTTAATGTGCACCTGATTGCACCGAGGGAAGCCTCTGCCACAAATCGATCCCTAAATCTGCTGCAACAGCAGAGGTTAATCCCAGGCGCTGAATCATCCTTACCCGCGGCAGCAGTGAGAAATAACACAACGCAACAGACACAACAGCCCTCACATCACACAGCCCTGCCACACTGCCAGCATAAATATGCCAACTATTTTAAGCCCCCTCAAAGGATCTAGATTCACATGCAAGCCAAACTGAAAACAGCCTAAAAGCTGTAAAGGCGGCTGCATGGGGTAAACCACCACACCGCATCAGCTGCAGCCCAAAAAACAACCAGCCCCTTTCAGCCGCAGGAAACTCTTCCTACCCCTTTGCAATGCACATTAAAAATCTGGTTTAAAGCCAAAATAAAGGAAGTTTATGCTTCAGCATGCTGCAGACAGTTACAACTAGCTCTGAATCCAACACGGAGCAGTTACTAAGGTACATCACTATTTTAAATAAATAGGGGGATACAACTCCTGTGCGGGGACCTTGACCAGCAGCCAGTGTTTTGAAGAGCCATTCCTGCCAAAGTCACTGTGTCCCGACAAATATATCGGAGCTTTTCAAAAGTCCAGAATCTGGGAGGCAGGGGTATAAAAATGGCTTCAGGAGTAAAATTTAACTTGCTGGTGTTTTAAAAAGGTCTTAAAAGAGTGGCGGGTGCAGAGACAGCAATCCCCGAATGAGGTCTGAGGTTTAGTGCCTTGGCATTTTAAAAGCTGTATTAGTGCAGAGACAGGCACCTACCTGGCTGGTTTTCACAGTGCCGCATCTCCCAGAGACTTCAGCAAACACAAGCCCTGACCTGCCCGGCCTCCCAGGACGCAGCTCCGGGTAACCTGGGCTCACCAGGGGCCAAGGTGGGCTCCAGCAGCGAGCACACAGCCCAGGGCATTCGCAGGAGCAAAGTTTGTAAAATCCAGTGCTGCAACAGGAGCCAAGAGCCAGGATGCAGGCATGTAGCAGTGGGATAATCCTGCCTTATTTTGGGGTTATGGGTTTACATTTCAGCAAAACACCAAAGCAGCAGCTAGGAAGGATGCCACAGGCGAAGACCGACGGGTGCTGGGGCCCCACAGCCAGGCGAATCCGTGTCCTGTGACATCTTGCCCTGTCAAGTGCAATTACTGTAATCTTCCACAGCTTCTCAAAATACGGATCCTGGCTTAGAAACTGGGCATCCGCAGCATGAAAGCTGCCTTTGTGCCCGGGCAGAGCCTGGGCGCGAGCCAGCCGTTAGGTGCATGAAGAAAATGAGTTCTCCACGTGCTAGGAGAAGGGAGGAAAAGCAAGCTTTCCCGCCCGACCCCGCTCCAGACAGGCTGGATTTCACCCACATCTCCCCGCAGCGGCCACCGAGGGGCTGGGAGCTGCACGGCCGCGCATCCCCCCGGGTGTAACGGGGCTGGTGACCACGGGGAACCGGCCGGTCCCGCACCCTGGGTGAGCGGGGCACAGCCGACACGTCGGACCATGGGGGCGGCTCACGGGAAAAAGGTAACAGGGCAGTTTTATTCGGGGCTGCTGAAGCGGTGGCGGGGTGATGGAGAAGGCACCATCTGCTCACATGTTGTTTGTTTTGCCCCGCGCGTGCTAAGGCAGCTGATGGCAGCGAGGGATTAGAGGGACGGGACCCGCTTCTGGGTGCGGGTGTCTCTTGTCAGGGCTGGATTAAGTAATGTCACCTGATGGGCTCAGCATCGGAGCCTGCTGGGGCTTTCGGGACAGCGAGGAGGGGATCAGAGCATTGCGTTAGGACAGGCAAAGTTTAGCTTTCTGGGGAGAAATATCAGGCTTGCTCTGAGCACGTCCAGCAGCCCGTGGGCTGTCTCCCACAGATGTGGTGTGGAGCGAGCCCCAAGTATTTCTTGGCCTGCGAATTGCTGCCCCCTCCCTCCTGTGACGGGGAGGAGCCAGGCCAGGTCCCACGGCACCCACACGCATCTCCCTCTCCTCCAAATTCCCCGGGGACAGCAGTCAAACAGCTCCGAAGGGAAATGGGGCTTTACAGAGTCAGAGCCGTGCAGAGGCAGCTAGAGATGGTTGTGCTGAGGATGCTGTTAGATGTCATTTTGCTTTGATGTTTGATGACATCAGTGCCTAGACACACATCATCACTGTTCAGTTGTAATGCCCTGATCCAGTATTAGACTTCTGTAGTTTGTCTCCCAGCTCTAAGAGAAACACACTTGTGCACCACATTAGGTCAGTAACTCCTGTTGCAACGGGGACAGCAGCGACCCTTTGCTCCACGAGGGACCCTGCATGCTCAGCTGAGCACGGTCTGTGGCCTTCAGAGGTGTGGGCACATCCAAAGCAGAAGTTTGCAAACCTGCTGGGCTTTCTTCCAAAACCAGAGCTAGAGAGAATTGCAAGGGAGACATGCATAAAAGCAACCCACCGGCCAGCGTTACCAACACCCAGAAGGAAAATCAGTGCTAACGTGGGACGAGCAAACATTTATCTATTTTCCCGGGTCTCGGAGAAGTGTTGGGTACTGGAGGTGCTGCTCCCAGCCAGCCCTCTGCTTCTCCAGCACCCATCTGAGGTGCCGATGTCGCACTGGCTCCACCATACGGAAGAGCCACGGCCGTTCCCGGCACTCGGGGCTACAACAGCACACCCAGGAGGAGCCGCACTCTGCCCACAGCTAATCCCCAGACCTTTGCTCACGTGGCCGTGACCTTCAGTCCTCAGTGCATTTGTACAGGCATTACCGAAAGAAAGGAAATAAGCTGGTTAGGTCAGGCTTGGCTCAGCGCCACCCAGTTCAGCTCTGCTGCATTCAGAGCAAACTATGCCGGCCTCCAGACCGGACAGCTTTTGGATGGCTTTCCTCATTGCTCCCTCTTTCTGAAACACCACAATCCCACCACAGCCCAGCACTGAATGGCCTGGCTTTGAAACGCTCCCGGGAGCTCGGGCTCTCCCGTCGCGCCAGCTCACTCTCAGCTTGCTGGCAGCCCCAAAAAGCTCTGAGACAGTTTTACTTTCATGGGCACCAAAAGGTCAGAGATTTCACTCCCATTTCAGCCTCCCAAACGTTGCCCGGGTTGACAAAAGCCTGTGCCACCACCCAGCTGGCACCAAGCAGGGATGTCTGACTGGCAGCCCCTGGGTCAGCGCTTTACCCTTAGGCTGAAGCTGGTGGGGGATGGAAAAAAGATAGCTCCTCCTGCTGCAGTGCCGGGGTGGGTATGAACATTGAGCTCCAGCCCTCCCAGAGGACCAGGTTGG